GTCCACCATGATCGCGCTGCGGGGCCGGGCGTCAGCCCTCCGCCGGGACGCCGCGGGGACACGGGGAAGCCCACGGGGACGTAGGGACACCCCCGGGGATGCCCATGGGGACATGAGGACACCCACGGGGATGTGGGGAGACCCACGGGGAGGTGGGGACAGCCACGGGGAAACAGGGCCAGCCATAGGGACATGAGCACGCCCAAGGGCATGGGGGAGACAGGTATGGGACATCCATAGGGACATGGGGACATCCATAGGGACTATGGGACGCCCACGGGGACATGAACACACCCACAGCAATGTACAGACACCCATGGGGACACTGGGACACCCACAGGGCCACAGGGACAGCCATGACCAACAACCTCTGAGGTCACCAACGTCCCTCCTCCCCCTCAAAGTCCCAGACGCCCCCACTGCCCCCAGTCCTCACTGTCCCCAACGTGCCAGGCGTCCCCAACGCCCCCAGTGTCCCCAACACCCCTGGTGTCCCCAAGGCCACCTGTACGAGGCCAGGTCGGGCTCAGTGAGGAACTCGCGCAGCAGCATCCCGTCCGTCATGTACTTGAGCACCGTCCGCTCCGACGTGCAGTCCTCGAAGCGGATGCTGTAGCCCACCTGGGGACGAAGACGTGTCACCGGGGTCCCCCGGGGTCCTCAAACCCCCCTCGTGGTCCCCTGGGATAGACACATGTCACTGGGGTCCCCTAACACCCCCCATGGTCCCTTGGGACTGGGATGCATCACCACAGTCCCTCATGGTCTCCCTAGGACATGGACACGTCCCCACGGTCCTGTGGGGTCTCCTTGGGACAGGGACGTGTCACCGGGGTCCCCTGAGATGAGGACGTGTCCCCAGGGTCCCTCACGGTTCCTCAGGATGGGGACACGTCCCCACGGTCCCTCGTGGTCCCCTGGGACGAGGACACATTCCCCACAGTCGCTTGGGGTCCTCGTGGGATGGGGACATGTTCTCAGGTCATCTGCGATGGGGACATGTCCCCAAGGTCCCTCATGGTCCTTTAGGATGGAGACATGTCCCTGAGGTTCCCTAGTCCCCCTCAGGGTCCTCTTCAACAGGAACAGGCCACTAAGGCCCCCCAGGATGGGGACATGTCCCCAAGATCCTGTGGGGTCCCTGTGGGACAGAGACGCGTCCCCAAGGTCCCTCATGGTCCCCATGGGACGGGGACGCGTTCCCCAGGGTCCCTCAGGGTCCCCCAGGATGGGGACATGTCCCCAAGGTCCCTCATGGTCCCCATGGGACGGGGACGCGTTCCCCAGGGTCCCTCATGGTCCCTCAGGATGGGGACATGTCCCCAAGGTCCCCATGGGATGGGGACACGTCCCGGATGCGTTCCCCAGGGTCCCCCGCCCCCCGCCGGGTCCCCGCGTCACCTCGTTGCCCAGCTTGGTGCCCATCTCCACGGCCACGCGGGCGGCCACGCTCATGGCGG